TACTTTTTTCATCATAATATATATATTTCTCTAAGTAATTGCATTCAATATTATCAATATTGTTGTTGGATCCGTTACGGACACACGTGTAGCTTCTATAAGAGGTTGCTTCACGTCCGTTCGCCCAAGCGATCTGTCAAAAAAGTTTACTTAAAATTGACCCCTCTTGTTGACTTCGATTTGTAGATGGAAGCTGGTAAAAACGCCATTTATATATAAGGACGAATGAGCTCGTTTGATAATGAATGCACCACGAGGCTCTTGGAATGATAACAGCATGGAGTCGCCAGCGATTCGCCAACAATGTTTATGGGATCGTCTAGGCAAAAAATAAGAGTGTTAAGGGTTAAATAATAGCTCCTATAAATGAATATCCTTTTACGTGTACGTCTAAACAGCGGTAATTAGCTGTATAGTTGTAGAGTTTAGTGAAATATGGCGTGTGTTGTAAATGCCTGGCGCAATACTGGTATGTGACCACAAAAATCGGTAAAGTTGTGCTTTAAAGCACGTATGGACAAAAGTCACCCAAACAGATATGACGTGACGACAACTAGAACAATAGTACGCTCATACGTCACTTTTTATGTATGAGATATTTATAGTATATCAAGTGTCTGAAATAAATTTACAGTGAGATTCAGCTAATAAATGTACAAAGCACAAAGCTTTTGGGACCCTAATAACTTCTCGAACAAAAGGTCACGTGTCCTTCCCCAAAATTAAAGTAAACTGCATTTTTCCAGCAGAATCGGCCTTCTTAGGACTGTTACAGAGAAAGAGAGAACCAGTTTTATAGCCAGATAGGCAATGAAACAATAAAATTGGCTCGATGTTCTTATACAAAAACCAAAAGTACAAACTAAGCAAGCAAGCAAGCATCATCGGGAAAAAGGGACGAACGATCACATTCCGTGTCGATGACGGTTAAATTTGTTGTGACGATACCCTTGATCACGTTAAGTCACGCGTAGAGGCACACAGTAACGAATCAAAATATGAGACATTACGCTATATATGTATACGAGTGAATGTAGAATGCGATGAGAGTGGCTATTAATTACGTGCTGTGTAGTTGTCAGGTCTGGCAACTTGAACTTGGTTGACCACCCGCACTGTCAGGTTGTTACTGGGGGACAATCGGTAACTGCAGCCGATTATATTCAGGTTAAAAGAAAAAGGGCAATCGCCTTTTGTTTACGCCGTCATCTTTGTGCGCAAAAGCGAGGACGGCTTGACGCGTTTGGGGGTATCATCTATAATGGTTAGCTCATCGACATCATCGTCAGCAGCACTGATGTCTCCAACCGGTGAAATCTCTTCTGCGGACCCCATTTTGTGGGTTTTATTTATATGGTATTTCAGGTGGACTTTCTGAGTGAAGCGGCGTGGACAAAGCGGGCACTCAAATGGACGTTCGCCAGTATGAGTTAGAATGTGACGTTTTATGTGCGATGGCGTTACGCCAAGGAAGTTGCAGAAGCTACACTGATAGCGGCCACGACGTTTATTTGGCGAGTTTGGATCTTGCTGGGTTACACGACGTCGCGGTGGTGGCATCAGGGTGGGGCTTGCGGTCCGGCTGAAATTCTCTCCAGGTTCTGGACTCTCGGACCGTTGTCCTGAGGCATTCTGGAACGCGGCTAGGGCGGCTGGCCATAAATAGTTCGCATTAACGTCTGCAAAAAATAAGTGTACCGCTGTAAGTGACTCTGAGGCATTAAAACCAGCATGTTGGTCGTAGAAGTTGATAAGGAAAGAGGCGGAAAAGTGTTTCAAGCTGAACACTGCCGTAGCAATTAGGCGAAGACTAGTCAATGTAAGATAGGTAGAAAGGTACATGATTCAAGTTGTCTTTTATTTTGTTATATGCATGCAAAGAAACAGAGTAAATAGGTAGTGTTCCGAAAGAGGGCAAGAGTTCGACAGTGGAGTGCGGAACAACTCTGCGCGTCTTCAACTGTAAACGACCAGAGCCAAGCGACATTTAGGTCTGGTCGTGTTCGATCTACAAACACCTGAAGAACGAAAAGCTACACAAAAAATGACAAAAAAAAAAAAAAAAAAAAAAAAAAGATGCAGGGACACACACACATACATACATACACACACAAGTACTTATATTAAAGAAAAATAGGTAGGCCACGCTGTCTGTGAGCGTTCTTTCGTTTTGACAAATGCTTTGGTGGTCACCACGCGTCTATTTGTTGGTCTGTCACTCTCATAGATGCTTCTCCTCTGTACACTTGGTCTCGGCTTAGTTCATCCCTTTCGTCGTATCTACGATCATTATCTCCGTTCAGAATTTTTCGGAGGCATAGAACTGAAGACATACACAGTAATACATAAACATACACAGTAATAAACACAACAGCTCGACAACATACTGTGTAAATAATATTATTATTAAATGATTCATTACAATTTTTACTATATATGTGCGATATACTGACAGCCAGAATGCAAAATATACGCGTGTAATGTGTACTATTGTGAAATGATGAAACAGATCACTGATTCCAGATGGATATGCGTATCTATTGGATATGAATAGTAAAATGATAAAAAGTACAATAAAAAGCAACATGTGTCGATAACATGTGTCTCAAAAATAAAGATTTATTATTTCATAATTTATTAATGGCGACTGTGTATTTCATTAGCAGAGTTTCTGGGGCTGGTTGAGAAAATAGCTTGAGTAGAAAAGAAATCATTGAAAAACTATAAAGAAACATTATTTGCCAGTGGATTTAATATGCTCACACGATATTCAGTACGAAGCGATGAACTTCGGTAGTAGTATATTAGGGAGGGTGGGCGTTGGCTTTGAGAGCAAATTTTAGTTAGCCAGCTATAGGTATCAGTCATTCGCTGAAATATTTAGTAAACACTAAGTTGTTGAACAAACACCTGGAGTTTCTTGCCTCCTACAGGTTCATCAGGCTTAACTTTCTTCTTTAGGTTTCAGCAACGATAAGCTATTGAATACGCTGTTCCATGTTACGTATAACGGAGGATTCGAGCACCCAAGCGTTCGAAACGTAGCGCACAAAAATAGGTGTAGTTCTTTCTATAAAACATTATCAAATCGCCCATTTACTATTTAGTATTTTTCTTACAGGTAACCGTCACAAGGAATCGCTGCAAGCCGCGCTGTTGTCCGCTGTGAAGTGTCGCCTATGTTTCTCTATGTTTTTT